CAAGTACGCCAAGTGCCTGCAGGTTTTCAGACAAAAGATTTATATGCGAGCCCATGGAGCTGAAGCCTGCAAAGCTACCACACTCTGGTCCAACTCAGCTAACATCCTATACCTGAGTCGTGGCAAGCTTCCCAAGGTTGCTGGACAGCAAGACGAGTCAACAAGGGGTGATTGCAATTGGAGAGACCGATGTGCAAAGACATGAATAGGCACAGTTCATGTGTTCCTAGCAGGCTCAATTATGTGCTCACTGATCATGGGAACACACACATGGCTCCAAACCTGTCCCGGAATCTGCTCTATAGGTATGATGTACAAAGGCATCAATAGGCACAGCTCATGTGTTCCTAGCAGGCTCAAATATGTGCTCAACGACCAACCATGGAAACACACATATGGCTCCAAACCTGTCCTGGAATCTGTCCTATATAGGTCTTTCACTGTCACACATGCACACACACACACACATGCGCATGCACTGTCTTGCCACCCGTTAACCTGCACTCTCTCCCTCTCTCATTCTCTGTGTGAATTGCCTCAAGCCACTGAGGAGCTCCGTCAATCTGCCACTGCCTTGAGTCGACTCCACAGAGATGCCAGAGGCAAGAAACGATCCACTGGGATCAGGGATAAGCTGAAAGGGAGCCAGTATTCTTCACTGAATTCAGATACTCTTTTTGTTGCTGCACAGACTTGCAAGCTTGCTAAGTTGGCTGTGCTCGCATTGTTCCATGTTGTGCAGCTGAGGCAATATCCCTGTGGTTTTGGCTACAAGCTAGCAGAGCTCATTCCCACGATGCCAGCAGGGGTCAAGGGGTTCAGATGCGCCAGAGCAGCTTAGACATCAGTCATGCATGGCAATACCCCAGAATTCCATTCTGATTCCCAAACCCTAAACTATATGCATGAACACATCATGGCACTCTCCCAGCTCCAAGCCCCAAAATGCATTGTTGGTTGCCCAGGCACACGGTGGAGCCTCAGAGGCATTGCTGATCCAGATCATGAAGAGCGACGTCGACTTGTGGGAGGATGCAGACATGCCCAGTGTTTGCAAATACCTCCGTGGGGCTACAGGATTGAATGTTCCTATGGAGCTGAGAGTAGCTCTCGGCATGTGATAGCAGGCCTGCTTTGGGTTCCATAAAGTATATTTGGGCTTCTAATAAATGATATCGCTGTTCGTGGCCTTCTGACACTGCAACAATTCATAATTAGCGAATGAAAGCATCTCGTGCTTTGCCGCCAGCAAAAGCTCGGTCTCCTTTGTTAGGTTTTTGCAATGTATATATAGGTAGCACAAACTTACAGGGATGTGCTTTAGCAGGCTTTTCGCAAGGGCTTTCATGACAGGTGTTTGGTAGCCGGGGCTCCTTGGTTTCGTTCTGTTCCCTTGAGCACAGCCATGTTAGAGGGTAAGATGTGGCAAAACTATAGGGAAAGTGGTTGTTGTGGGTCATGGTGTTCTTGTTTCGTTGTTACCGCTTCCCACGACCGCTTGGTGACCCCGGGGCCCAAAAACCAGTAATCCAGGATGCGTCGGAAACCTTCGAGAAACCAGTCTTACAGCGCGGGAAACCAGTCTTACGCACAATCTTGAGTCAGATTGGGAATCTTGGGAATTCAGCCCCGGATACTAGTAAACCTGCCTATGTGGATGCGTTCACTCTATACGGGGGCCATACGGGCACACTGGCAACCAGGAAGCCTAGGAGCACCCCACGCCACCCAGCTAAAACCTAGTAACCCCGTCGTCTCTGTGGGTGTTACGTAAGATGGGTGACCAGTAAACCACCGGAAACTAGTTTTTGGGCCTAGTTACTAGTTTCTTTGAGGCGTGCCAACCCTAAACCCTAAACCCTAAGCCCTGCACCCTAAACCCTAAACCCTAAACCCTAAACCCTAAACCATATATATATATATACATATTTATTTAAATATATATATATATATAATATGATATATATACACACATACAGCCTTTGTCTTGCTCTTTCTATACACATATACACACATATATACAGGTACTTCTACGGGTAATATATATATATATATATGTGGGCATTATGAGCAAGGCAAAGGCTGTAATATATATATATATATATGTATATATACTCTATATATATATATATGTATATATTATAGCCCAACAAACCTCTGAAGAAGCCAGAAGCCACCGGACACGCCCAGTGGCTGTCGGTCGATGTTGGAGCTCCTGTCTTGGCTTGTGAAGTGCATGGAGCTCACACGAATGTTCTGTATGTACAGCCTATGTAGGATTGGGTGTGGTACATTCGGGTCCTCTGTATATAGGATTGGATATGGGGGTTTTGTCTTTGAGATCAGGTTCTTCTACATGTGTACATATATATATATATGAGTATGTATGTGTGTGTACTACAAGTAAAGGTACCTCTATTCATGTGTTCTGTGTGCCGGTGTGCAGGTACCTGCTGAAGCCATGTGTCCATGCGGTTTTATACATGTATATAGACACACACGCACTCGCATGTCTATGTACTTAAATCCGTGTGACTCTGTGTGTGTGTGTGTTTGTAAGTGTAAATCTTCCCGGAGATATAGTCAGCCTGAACCCCAAATACTATATATACAAACAGACACACATGTTGAAGCTCCATGTAGTGATATGAATATTCATTAATATTCATGTATCTACACAAGTACATGTGTGGCTTTACAACATGAAGTACTCTTCGATGAAGCTGTAGTGAAGTTCTTTCATGCCCAGGTTCATCTATATCTAATCAATTATACCTATATAGTCTCCATTGTAGCTCCTTTTAGGGGTTACCTTATAGAATCCTACTAAATCTGGATTTTTGAAATCAAAAAGGGAACTACAATGGAGACTATAGGTAACGTCCTACATATATAGCCTCGTTATAAATACATAAGCCTTATCCCCTTAAGCCTTAAACCCAAGAATCCCAAATGTCTGCAGGTCCGCTGACAAAGTTCGGAGTCCAGCTCGAGGAAGCAGGTGCTGCCCACCCCCATAGCCTGCAGCTTCTGATCGACTGCAGGTGCTCTTGGGACACTTCATGATGCTCACAAATGTGTTTTGATTCCTGAGTGGCTCAATCTGATTGATTTGCTGAGACCCTAGATGGACTTGCGTGGGTGTTCTAGGACCTGGAGCTGCAGCACCCTCATGGCTGGCCAAGCAGCACTAAAGGCGCAACGGCAGCCTGAGCATCCAGTGCCACCACCAGCTGCCACTCGTCCTCAGATAGACATGCACTGGAAGTTGTTGCTTGAACACCTGTTTCTCTGTGGCTTTCTGTGTGTTGCAAAGTTTATCTGACCTAAGTTAGTATATGCTTATTGAACCATGTATAGTTTGTTTGCAACACACAGGATGCCTAGAGTCTAGAGCCTAGAGTTGCCATGTTCATGTGATTTGCACCTGCACAGATAAAACAACATATCATATGCACACACAAATTATCATATACGATAACCCTACATAGATCTCCATCTGTGCAGATGCATGTGGCTGTGTGTGAGTGTCACTGCATGTCTATGCTTGCCAAGGCCCAAGTGTTCCGAGCTGTAGCTGTCGATGCAGTGCCTGCTGGTGAATGTGACTCTTACTCATATATACATATACCTATACTTGACCAAGGTGAAACAAGAACCACATTGGTGTCAAGACCTGGCCTTGTTTTCCCCGCGAACACGAGATCTGATTCAAAAGCTCCAGGATAATCCTGAGAGCAGGGCTTTGGTCGCCAGGTTGCTGCAGAAAGGAAGTCCCTCACTCAATGCATGTCTGTGTATAGAATGTTGTATCAACAAATGTATGTCTATGTATATATAAGTTTATACTCTCAGGTCCGGAGAGAGCCATGGAGAGTGGCAAGGGCAAGAATCCGCGAGTGAAGATGGAGCCTAACCCCGTGGCTCCCTCTGCAAAAGCTGCCCCGCCTGGACAACCTGTGCCAACGCCAAAGCAGCACCAGCCAGCCCCAATGCAGTTTCCGCCTCCCCCCCCCCCACCCCCCCCAGCGCAGCAAGCGATCCCCCCTCCTCCACCTGTCCCAGGGAATGATGGACGTGTCACGACTGCGTCGCCTGCTTCCAGTGCCAAAATGCAACAGATTCACCGGCTTATGTCAGAGCTCACTGAGGCAGAGCAAGAAGAAATGGAACAGCGGATGAACCATATGAGATCCAGCAGGAAAAGGGCTCAGTCTAGTCCAGGCTCCCAGATTGATGCTACGACCCCGCTCGCTGCTTCTCGCCAAAAGAGGGGTCGCTATGAAGGGCTCGGAATCCCGCTGCCTCCAGGACGACTTCCAGATGAAGGCTTCCCACAGAAAGCCCGCCCAACCCGGCGTCCTGGTACACCCAGCCCTGCACAGAAGGCAAGACCAAGCACTGCGGCCAAGTCCGGAACACCAAGTGCACCGGTGGCAGCCAAGAGCCCACCTACACATGGATCAACGCCAAAGCCGATGAACTTCACTCCCGGTGTGGGAAAGGGCAAAGGAGTTTCGTTGCCACCCCAACCTCCAATGCCGCAGCCTGTTCCAACGTATGTCTTGCCACCACCCCCGCCAGTGGCAAACCCAGTCCCTGCAGGATTGGTCTCACCTTCCGTGCGTGCCAGCCCAGAAACTGTGAACCGAGTGCAAGGCAGCCCCACACCACCGCCAGCCCAGCAAAGCCCATCCCGTGAAGCAAGCCCCGTAAAGGTTGAGCCAGGGACAGTGATCCCACCAACAACCACACCAGCTGAAGCTGTGGCCTCTACGCCTCTAAGCAATGCAGGGAACCCATCCCAGCAGTGACTGAGTTCAATGTTTCGCACAAGCATGACAAAAAGCAGTGCAGCCTCATGAGTGAGTGAGTGTGTGTGCTAGGCGCTTTGTGACCATGCAACATGTGCATCAGTGGTGCTTGACAGTGTGCGCATGTGCTGCTGATAGGATCATGTCATGTTGCTGTGTTCGCATTCTAAATGAGCCCCAACCCAGGCATGCACATCTGAGCACGTTCAACTCCACCACCTGCCCGGATGCCTGGGCGTTTCTCTATCGCATATGCAACGCGGGGGCTTCGAAGACAGACCCTGAAGTCGTGAAGCGATGGAAGGAAGGCTGGTTGTTGACAATAGTTAATGTACTCTTTGTCAAGCCACTAACAATTTGTGGTGAGCTGCACTACCATCTTGCCAGGTGGCCTGCCGAGGCAAAAGCTCATCAAGGAGTTTGTGGAGAAATGCTACGTGAAGGGTGAAAGCCAAGCTAGCAACAAGGCTGTGCATGCATAATACGACGTACGGTTTATGTTTTGTGTTATGTTTTTATTCATGGCCTGCTGCTGGCCAGGGCCGCTTGGAAGCGCTGTACAAGCTTCGCCAGACAACCCGTGAGTGGAAAAAGGGAGTCTCTGGGTTCGAGTGGTTGACCGAACGCGAGATGAGGGATGAGAAGAAATGGCCGGAGCTGCTTGACTGCAGTTTCTTATATGTGCTATATACATGCTGACATGGGATATGACTCGCCTGAAACCTGAGGAGCAAAGTTGCTGGAGCCATCGCTTTCACGGAGAAGAAGCGCTTGTACAAAAGATGTTTGTACGAGAATGTCAGAAAGTATCTCGTGCTTACAAGCGACCGTGTGGAGCAACTTGGAATGCACTTGTATGTTGCATGCTCATGTGCAATGTGCATGGGCTGTGTCTGTGCACATCTGGCTGTGACTCTCTTTCTCTCTCCCTCTCTCTCTCTCTCTCTCGCGCTGTCTTGCAGCTGCTAACACCATGTCATGTGCTGGCAGGCAAGGATATGAAAAATTGCGGGAGCTGGAAGAACTGCTGGAAAGCTCAGGTGCTTTGTGGGGTGTGGATTTATGTGTAGGGTTTCTATATTACACGTGACAAAGCTTATATACAGCGAACCTCAGAAAGTTGGAACTGGGTTTAGGCTGATTATAGTATACTATATTTTACCTTAAGGGTACCAGGGCAATCGTGTTCCAACTTTCTGGCTTCCACTGTATAGGGTCGGGTTGTAGTCTATGGGCTTACACGGGGTACATTATCGTATCTGGTTTAGGGGTGGGTGCTGCTGTATAGGGCTTATCCTTATAAAGATCACATAACATCTCCTTTCCCCCTAGAAAATCCCGACCTATAGCTTGTATGTTATCTGGATGTATGATGTTTGTCTCGAAGGTAACCCGAAACCCAGAAGTGCAATCCATGCAGTCCAGCCACACATCCTCACTCATGTTGTCGCCCACCCGGTGGTGTTTGCACCTCAGTCATGATCGCAGGTTACTTGCGGGAGGGCTTCGACATCAACGAGGGAGTGGGTGATGCCCTTGAGTTATCTGATTTTGAGGACAACTCCGAGAAAAAGCCTAAGCCGGCAGGGCGGGGCAGTGGGTTGCCAGAACTCGAAGGCCCAGAAACCCCAGACCAGTTTGTGCAGAAGTACAAGAAGTATCTTCTCAATCGCCGAGCTGCTTTCAAAGAAGCCAACGACCGCATCAAAGCCGATGGTTGTCGTGGCCATGAGACCCTCGGATCAAGCTATAGGTGTTTATGCGATGCCAAAGTGTGTGAAACTTTGGGGTTCTTTGTGATGTCTAAGGGAAGACCAGCAGTCTCTTTCGGCAACCATGGGCTCTGTGGTGGCACATAAAGACAGGATGGACATGATGTTCTTCTGTACTGTAGGTGCAGGCCCTCCCCCATTCCCCCATGACCAATGAGAGTACACCACAGGCACCTTGAATGAGATGTACAAAAACTTGTGCAGCCTGGAGATCGAGAAGAAGGGCTCGTAGCTCGCCTTAGATGATTGTGTGGAAGGTTTGCATGTTGCTGCTCGTGATGTGTATTACTACTTTCGGATTTCGTTTTGAGGAGCAAGGATACTTTTGCAGACATCACCAAGCGCATCAAAGACAAATGCTTGCAGTTCAACAACGAGCTGAATGCACTGAAGACTCCCAGCTGCATGGTATGTCGAATCAACCTGCTCATATGTATGCTTCATCAAACTCAAAATATTATAACCATGCAGGACACACTTCAAGAAGGCGCCCAAGAAGGCACGTGCTGTGAAGGACGAGCACCCAGGACCTGAGCCCTCGGTCTGAGCTACACTGTTCGGTGGTGGGGTTTACTAGGTGGCCGAGTTTCCTATCATGAACAGCATATATGAGTGTGTGCTTGCATTCGTATCTACGAAATCTGTTGTTACCGTCGTGAAGGAAGCTCAGAGTCCCACCTATGGACAATTAGATTTACATGTGAGCCTTCGCAGGCTGTGCACTCACTGCAGTGCCACGACCCGACAGAATGATGGGGTAAGGTGCTCTTGATGTGTGCTTCGACGTACAAGTGTGCCTTGAGACAAATGACATGTTGCATGAACTGCTTCCTGCATGCAGCAACATGACTGGAACCTGCACTCCTTAGGAATATCTTGGAAAACAAGTACCCTCACCCTATGTTTAACTTGTACCCCTGCTCTGTCTCTCTAGTTGGCTTGTCTACAATAGGACTTCTTATGAGTTCTCTACTGTATTTCCTATATATATATATCTCTCTCTCTC